GGGACTCGATCCCGGGACTCCAGGATCATGACCTGAGCCGAAGGCAGTCGCTTAACCAACTGAGCCACCCAGGTGCCCCCAAAGTTACTTTTTAAAATGTTCATTTTCACTAAGTAGTCTAAAGCAATCTTTGATTTATACACCATTTATTAGACTACATACTTTTTAACCCATTTGACTTCGACTCAGGAAATATTCCAATATTAAAGTAATATAAAATCAATAGTCTTCACTAATTCTCAGGATAAATCATTATTCACTGTGAACTTAAGCTGTTTGGGGATTCTTTACCTCTGCTGGGGTAAGCCTTGATTCATTTTGCCCGATGCAGTCCGTGTTCTGCTCTTCTATTAAAGGACATGACTATATCTGTAGCATGCTAAATAAGGCTTCTTTTTTTTTTTTTTTAGGGCTCCTTGCTTTTTGGTTGAGGTTATATGGAAGTATATTTCTTCCACCTTAAAGCACATGGAAAAACAGCTTTGAAGTAATGGCTTGACGAAGTATTCTGAGCTTTAGTTAAACAAAGATCATCCCATTTTAGCACCATGCCTGTATCTGTAAAATTGTTTTACGGTAGCATCATCTCTTTCTGTTTTAGGTGAAATGGAGACAGAAAGTCAGCCCAAGAGGCTCTTCCAAGGCACTACCAGTATGCTGTCTCCGGAGGCTGCACAACTGTCTGATCTCAGTTCATGGTAAAAAATGAAATCAAATCCAAAGGATGTTAGGGTATGATCTATTAAAAAAGAGCCACATCAAAAGTATATTGGGATCATTTGAAATAATATTTGGCTTTTTATTCATGCTCTATAGAGGGGAAAGCTCCATGGAGATACAGAAAATGTGAAAAAAAAAAAAGATCATTTGAAAATCATTGAGTACTCCTTTAGAAGTGCGTGTATGTTTTTGGCACCTTCACCTTCCTTCCTGACTCCTGTTAGGTCAGCCTCTCTCAGTAGGTGCTAATGGTGTGGGAGAGTGGCAACAGCTGGATGGCGTGAGAAAGAGTTCCTGGGTTGCTGTGGTTAATGTGCATTGATTGTAGCTGCCCTGCCTGTGTTTGACTTATCTTTTTGACTTAGCAGAGAATACCAGCATCCTCTGAAGCATGGCATTTTCTGTAGCATTTTCTGTTGTTATAAAATCTTTTTGAAATTTTTGGGGTATTCCGTCACAATCCTACCCAGGTTTTGTTTTGTTGTTTTTAGTATAAAAACAAGTGTTAGTATACACTTCCTGATTCCTGTGGTCTAGTCACATAATTTTTTTTAGCCTTACTGATCCAAGTTTAGGTATCTAACTTAAGGCCCTTCAGTGTTTTTGTGCAAAAGTTAACTTCTTTTCATATACCTGAAGTTGAGTACTTGGATGCTGACATACATGTTGGAAGGAAGGGGAAGGGATGGTGGCAGTGGCCAGGTAATGTCTTGAAATCTTTCAGTACATATTTCTTTTGTTTTAAATATTTTTAAAATATTTATTTATTTGAGAGAGAGAGTGAGAGAGCATAAGCAGGGGGAGCAGCAGAGGGAGAGGGAGAAGCAGACTCCCTGTGGAGCAGGGAACCCGATGCGGGGCTCGATCCCAGGACCCTGGGATCTTGACCTGAGCCGAAGGCAGACGCTTAACCCACTGAGCCACCCTAGTGCCCCTCGGTACATATTTCGAATCAGTTCACTGAGCACCCGTGTTCTAGACACAACTGTGTAGTGCCTTTCGGGACTTTTTGTTTCCTGAGTTTTATAGCTGAGGATCTTTTTTAAGAGCCCAAAAGTACATTCACTTTAAAAATAAAAGGATGGTGTCCTCTAAATGGAAGAATTGTGCACGCCACTTACAAGGTATAAGGATTAAGTGATTCTGTCTTTCCAGATCACATGTTAATTGTTTTGTGTAAGATAACTTGTACTTCTAGTTGACCAAGAAGTCACAGATTCTTCTAGTTTATTAGACTCGTTGATCAGTACTGTTCTAACCTTGGAACAGATGCCTTTTAGATTGTTCTAGCTATTTTCAGCCCCACAGTCTCTCTTCTCCCTCATCTATGTCTGTCCTTCGTAGCTCAGTGTGCTAATTTTGGTATAGAGTGCCTTTCCAGGTATGTACATGATTGCAAAGAGAAAACTTCTAAGGCTTGTCAAGAGGACTAGCGGCTGAAACTCTATACTTAGTGGAAACTGCCTATCACTTTTATGGTAAAGTGTGTTTTAATATAGGCACATGACATTATAAATAGCTTTGCTTACCCAGTTGCTAACCAAGTAACCAAGTTAGGGAAAAGATAGGGAAGCATTTTGCCAAGCTGAAACCGTACAGGGTGAAGTGATTTTTTAAAAAAAATACTGTCACAGACTGACTGTACAGGATGCCATGAAACAGGTTCAGACAAATAAAGAAGAAAGGAAAGAGGAGGGTCTGGGATTTACCAAGGGTCCTCACCCCTGGTCCAGATGTTTATTCCTCTGAACAGCAAAGCCGAAGTTGTCAGTGATGTTGGCTATGGTGAGGGTCCTATTTCTGTTGTTGCTACTCCCATTCTTTCTCCTCAGAGCTGTGACTAGCTATGAGAGCCCTGGGTACATCGACATTGGTGACCAAGGGCACTTTTGATCTATAAAGACAAAAAGCGTTGTCTCACGCTGGAAAGATTTGCTTCATTTACGGCCAGTCAGAGCAGTAACAGGCCAACGTGTGGCTCAAGTCATAGGTTAAAAAGAAATTTATTACTCCAAATTCACAAAACTAAGTGTGAAAGATATTTAAGTAATTAAACTTTAAAAGATGTTTTTGGTAAGTTTGTAGCGTCTGGACTCCAGAGGATATTAAAGCTTAAAATTGCTCCGACTTTGGGGACACCTTGTATCTTAATATTGCTGACATTTATGTCTGCAACGAAGAGATTTTAAACAGGAGTTATGATCCGTAAAAATTGGATCCTGCTTTTGCAAAACCTTTTTTTCCTATCTCTGTAATGCAGTTTCATTGATCAGACATCCGTATTCTTAGAAAATGGGGACAGAGACAGAGACTAGCTGTGTTCTGGTTTCTGTTGCCAAGGATAGCCAATCTACTTGATAGCCAAGGAAACCATTTTTATACATTTTAGGGAGCAGAAAAGGTACCAGATCATTAGTAGATGGTATCTCATCATTTCAGTTGTCATAGTTTGTTTCCCTACCCCACCCGACAAAGGGAAGATGGGTTTTAAAACTTAAACTTTATATATTAGGTAACAGTCTTTAAAATCTGACATCTTGGGATGCCTGGGTGGCTCAGTCAGTTAAGCGTCTGCCTTCGGCTCAAGTCGTGATCCCAGGGTCCTGGGATTGAGCCCCACGTCAGGCTCCTTGCTCAGAGGGAAGCCTGCTTCTCTCTCTCCCTCTGCCTGCTGCTCCCCCTGCTTGTGTGCTCTCTCTCTCTTTCTGTCAAATAAATAAATAATATCTTAAAAAAAGAATATATATTAAAAAAAATAAAACCTGACATCTTTGAAGTGTAAATTAAGCGTGAAGTTTGAGTATAGACTTATTTGGGGTTTGTGTCCAATGTGGCACCTGCTGCCCAAAGGAATAGTAGGCCCGCTCTTGATATCATATTTTTTACTAGATGAAAACTCTGAAATCTTTGCCAGCCAAACCCAGGGAATGTTGTCAACCACAAGGCGGGAATTATGTCATTCTGTATTTAGTTCTTCCGAACCTCAAGAATTTGATCATAGCTTGGAAGTACACCTTTCCATGGTGCTTTGATTCTTTTTGTGTGTTGGGGACTCTTGTTCTGCTCCTCGTTCTTATGGGAACAAGATGATCTGTTTTGAGGGCTACTAGCCATGTGGTGAAGATTAAGTGATAGTCTGTTTCTCATGCAGGAAAGGAAAAGTTCTCCCATGAAATTCTTGCCCAGTGCATCAGTGTTAGTGTGACTGCTAATTTAACCTTATTGTAGTTTTATTTTAACATTTTTCACTGGATTTCATTTCGTGATTTTTACATTTTTAATGGTTTATGTGTCATGGCAAGAAAATTTAATCAGGAATATGTGACATGTACAAAGAATAAGATTTAATCATGATTTATTTAATAATAGAACCTATACATATACCTTGAACATGTTTAAGTGAGCAGCTTAGACATCTGTGCTGGTACTTTTAAACTCCTATCTCCAAGGTGACTATGGAAATGATTAAATGTGTGATCTTAAAAACTTAGAAGTTATGCAGAAATATAATGTTGGATCTTTCTAAGATAAGATAGTAGAGACCAGAAAACCTACCCTATGGACCACTTTAACCCACACCAAGGGGTAGGGGATGCCCCATAGTCTTAGTTTACACCAGAATCTCTGCAGGGGTTGATAGGGCTGTGTCTGTTTTCTAGTGCATTTACCTGCCTGTCCTTAATTGGATAGAACCCAGTTTATTGACTGGACAAGGCACAAAGTGGCTCAACCAGATGGGTAATAGCATGAGTCACACTGGACATCCTGATTTTATTGTTTATCATTTGAATGTTTTAATAATTCTCTTATACCTTTCGCCCTTGTTTTTTTTAGACTGAGGGCACTATCTTAGTAGTCATAAGTGTTTTTGATGTGTGGTTCAGATTTTGCATCAATATGTATACTCAGTGGCCAGAGTGAATTAGAATGAGTTCATTTTTGATTCGTGTACTGTGTCCAACTTGAACTGTCTAGGTCCTTTGCTTTCCTTGCATTGTCTGGCTTTCAGCCATTAGTCTGAAGCCCATTAACACCTCCATCAGAGCTTCAGCTAGGAAAGGAAAAAGATAAACTCAAATTGGACCATACTTTGTTGCTTTTAGAAGGCCTGATAGGAGGTTTAGTAATGAACGCTGTGAAAGTCACTTTTATTCAGGGACCTCTCTGTGAATAAAAAAAAAATCATGTTAAGTCTTGCTTTACATGGATTTACCTGTAGTCTGCTTCCATGACCAAGCGTAGTAGTATCAGATTTATTAGAACAGAAACTAGACTTTAGTGAAAATACCTGGTGAACGGTTTACCAAGTTCTGAATCTAAATTACACTGACTGTTAAATATAAGTATGCTGTTTCACTAATAATGAACACGATTTTTCATATGTTCATATTTAATAATAGAGAAGAAATTCCTGAAAAGGAATATATGAAACGAAATGTTCAGATTTGTATTCTTTTTGTCTCAGTAACTTCTTGGTAATTTTCCTGTTAGCTTATTTCTCTTAAGGTAATCAACCATGTTAGATGAGAGCTTTCTCCTCATGAGCCATGTCCTGTGTTTTGAATGAATACAGGATTCACCTAAGCAAGCAGGTCTTGTTACAAATGGAATCTTTTAACCCAGGGCTCACCATAAGTCTGGTGGTTGTAATAAGAAAGTCTTTATTTATATTCAGATTATCTGCCGGGTGGCCAAATTTTAATCTAAGCCTGTTTCTTCCTGCCAAGTAGCACAGAGCGTGTCCTTCGGCTGCCTGGCCAATATGTGCTTTAGGAAAGTAAATTCATTTTAATATTAGTCTAGGCAAAATACTGCAAGAGGAAAAATCACATATGTTCCAAAGGCAAATATAAAGGTCTTTTGATTTTCCAATGCCTTAGATTATCTGTGTAACTTTCTTTCAGTAGTTTGAATAATTCATATTTTAGACCTGTTTTACCATTGGGTTGAAAAAATAGCAGCGCCAGCTAAATTTTCCGAACTTCTTACTTAAAAGTGCTGTTATTAATGATGCATTTCACAGCAGTGAGCATAGAGTGGGAGTTCGTGGACTGTACTGTTTCCATTTTTATGTTTACTTTTCTGAAGTTTATTTGTATTCTGTCTCCACCTAAAAACAATCCACAGGCAATAGAAAAATAGCAGAGAAGTGGGGGGAAAGCGTTACATGTCGTTGAGGTGGGGGGTAGGGTATAGGGCCCAGAAACTTCCAAATGTACCATGGGTTGCTTAACACTGGAAATGTATTAACTTGGAGATCCAGAAAAGTGATCATATTAAAGACTCCTAATATTTAGCCTCAGAGCATATTAGACCAGAGTGGGCTTTTGTAAAAGAGCTAGTGATCAGACTTCAGCTAGAACCCATATTTCCTGATTCATTATTCCTTCTCCCTATTCTGTGCTTGCTTCCCTTTTCAGAATTAAAGTGTGTCTGTGTAAATCCTACAACTGCCCAACTACCTCTCCAGCTTTGTCTCTCATTGTGTTCTCCCTCTCCGTACTTAACAGCCACACTAGCCTGCTTTTGGCTCCTAAAACTACCCTTGCTTCCTCCCAAACCAGACCTAGTTAATGCCTGCTCATCTTTCAGATGACAGCTCAAGTATCACTTTTGAGGAACGTGTTCCTCCCTGTTCTTCCAAATTAGATCAGGCTACGCATGTTATATGCTTGCAGAGCCCTTTGTATCTTGCTTTTATTGCTTTGATCACAAATTATATATGTATTAGCGTGATTACTTAAAAGCCTGTCTCCCCCACTGTACTTACTGTAAAGTTCCATGAGGGCAGGGACCATGTCTATCTTAGACGCCATTGTATTTCTAAGATCTAGCATGATACTTCCTGCACTTGGCAGGTCCTTGGTAAATATTAGAATAAGTGAGGGAGTGAATTCAGCCCAGATATAGAGCATAGCACTTATAACGTTGGACTGATGGGACTCAGAGCCAGAAAGGCAGCCTGGTGCGAAATTGTGAAGGCTCTTAATTGTGAATACTGAAGTATGAAGCAGGCCAGATGGGTGGTCGGCAGCCACGAGAGCCTGGGCTGGATGGGTAAGGCATCCCTGGGCTGGATTCTAGAGGCTCTGATGCCCAGACTGGGAGTTTTATTGGAAGGATGGGAGCAGAAGCTAGCTGTCAGAATCAAAAGAGGCAAATGGAGGGTGAAGGTATTGGGTCTGTGGCAATAGAACATTCCTTTTAGCAGCCTAACTGGATAGTAACTGAGGGAGGCTTGTAGAGTTATCAGGGACACCTTTGGGTTCTGAAAGGAAGAGAAAAGGAAACTGTCAAATTCATCAAATGAGAAGAATATGAAAGACAAACAGCGCAGGGAGAAATTAGAAAAAAAAAATGTGTTTGAATTGAAGGCATCTTGCGAAGGAGGAAGTGGTCAAATCTAGAGTAGTTGAACGACCATGATCTGGAGTAGAGGAACCATGAAGCAGTGAACTTACTAGAGTACTTCAGATGGTGCAGGGTACCTCAGTGAGTAACCAGTCCTCTTACTCGAAGGCTGATGGGGAGGGAAGAAGCGAAATCTCAGGATAGCAATGTCTTGAGCTGAAGGTAAGGGAACTCCCTCACCAAAATCATGACATGTCAAGAGGAATGCTTACTCTATGTTGGACGTTCTGGTGGCTCCAAGAGAGCCCTAAAGTGATACAGAACCTTGAGCATCCTACTTTGGGCTTCTGTGACCTTGTTTGTGCCGGTATCTGAATACAGTACATTATGTAGTTCATTGCTCTCGCTTATGCTTGGTATGATTTACAAATGCTCTTACCGATGTGTGAGTTCTTGAAACGGTGTTGTTGCATGTTATGTTTACCTTTACCCTGATAGATGCATCTGCTTATAATTCTTTTTGCTTTGTCCTCAGTTCAGATATTTTGGATGGCAGTAGTAGAAGCAGTGGCTTATCCTCAAACTCCCTGGCTAAAGGCAGCACAACCGCAGAGTCTCCAGTAGCATGCTCCAATTCATGCTCTCCGTTCATCTTGATGGATGATCTCTCACCCAAGTGACTTACCCATTTCTGATTCAGCGTCTTAACTGCTGTTCCTTGCGTAAAACATTCAGTGAGGAACGCAGAGAACTTTGATCCATATGAGGATTAAAGTGTGACAGACTTAAAAAAAACCCACTTCGATGCCATTCTTTTCGGCATCTCTCCCTAAAAGTTCAAGTTTACGAGTGTAGTGACCTTACTTATGTCTCTTTTTGCGGATCTCATTTTGGATCTAGTGACTAAATCTCCAATACTCATTTTCGATTGCTTAGAATATATATATATATGTGTATACACACACACACACACACACACACACACACACACACATATATTTTTTTTCCTCAGTGCCTCAGAGAGCACCTATTGTAGAGTCTATACGTTTAAGGAAAGCACTGATGTGTGGTTCTTTTTCCCAGCAGTGACACAACAGCTAAAGTTGATCAGAAATTCTCTTGCTTGAGAGATTTGTTTGTTTTGTTTTGTTTTTGTTTTGTTCTCTGTTGACTACATAGTTTCAGATCTCTTTATTTCACAGTAATAGATGGATTGCTTTCAATTATATTAAATTTTTATTTTTCTGCATCAGCTTAAAGTACATCATTTTGTTTCCCTTTCCTGTTTGAGCTGCTTACTTGCCATTTCTCAGAGGGAAAGAAACACGTAGTCGCTTTCATTACTATCCATATCGCTTCTTTGCTGGTGGAGTGTATGACGTGAGGATTGATTTTAGTGCTGAGAATGTAAATGGACTTGACAGGATGCCTGGATGACTCACCACAGGTTCTTATGCCTTAGCCACCACAGTTGATATTTTTCTCCCCAAACCTGTTGCCCAAAGGAATATATAAAATATTGTTAATGTTTCTAGGTGGTGTTATCAAGGAGAAGAAATTCCTGCCTTGACCAGATGTGTGGAGCATCTACAAATGAATGAATAATGTTATTTACACCCAAAGCACTGTGTAGAAAAGCATACATGGAGCTTGACAGCTTGTTTCGGGTGGTATTATGAGGCCTGAGGTGCCTTGGGGTACAGTGTTGTGCTGTAAAGATGGATGTCATAAGGTAGGGTAGAAAAGGGGGCTTTATGTGTCTGATTGCCACATACTGTTTCGATTGCTGCTTTTTTTTTTCTCCTGATTACTTTTCTGTTATTGGATTTGTTGGTTTTGTCGCGTGGTGAGTGCGTGCTGCTGCTGACTGTGTTTGGGTTATCGTGTTGCCACCAGAGTCCGAATCCAGTTCTTGTTGATGCTGCCTCCTAGTAAGGGCAATTTAATATCTACGAGGAAGCTTTTAGGAGCTGAAAAAAAGTCAATGTTACTGTGCATTCTGCTTTTAAGAAGCTGTTTGAGCTGTGAACAGTGTACATGATAGTAAGTCTGAGGTACCATAAGTTATTTAATTTTTAAAAGAGGAAAATCCTGCTAGAGCTATTTAAAAAAAAAAAACAAAACCCGAGTGTAATCTATCGTTGTTATTTATTATTTAAAAATGTGTAAAAATGTCTGTTGTGCTAGGTTTCTTTTAATGTTCAGACATCGTGGTTGGATCGTCTGTGTTTAATATGCAAATTTGCCTGCTAGGATCATAATATTCCACTTTTGAAATGAATGTAAGAAACGGAAACTCCTGCCTCTGTGTCCTTTGAAGGCCAAGATTCTTGAATTTTAACGGAAGATGATGCGCTTTGAGGGCACTCACAGAGTAGTCCTCCTGTATGGCTTGAAGGGAGATCTAGCCTCTTTGACTTACAAGAGAGCATCACTTAGCTTGCAGTAAGTAGTTCTGTCCAGCATCAGATGTGGTGTTGATTTTAAACTGTAATAACCGCCACGGTGGCCATTATTAATGGCTTGATTTCTCGTATTGCTTTCGCCTGTGCAAAGTCCAGAAGCTTTCAAGCCTAACATCAGTGTACATATTATGAAGCGTGGTCCCTAGCGTGCCATCTTAAAGAAAAATTCGATGGTATTCAGTGTGTCTATTCTGTTTCTGAAAGAACCACGTTCAGATGTTTCTGCCCATATAATGCCAAGAGATGGTTTTCTCTTTTACAGGATATTTATCCACCTTCACCCTACTGTCTTCTTTGCCTTAAAGGGATACTTTTGGCCATGATTTTTTGGCTCTAATTTAGGACTCATAAGAAACAACCTTCGGAATGTGATGGTATTTAAATTTCTTTTTGAAATTCAGTGGTGGGTGAGAATTGGGACAGGAAAATGAAGTTGTTACAGTAGTGTGAGAACCAGGAGATGAGATGAGTCACTTCATCATTTAAACCGAGGTTCATTTTTATTGTTCAAATTGACTAGGAAGTTAAGTTTATGCAGGGATTGTTTTGGAATAAATAAAAGAGACGCTAACCTTCAGATGAGCTTTGTTGACAGTACCCCTTTATTTTTATATAAAGTCTAATATTTGGAAAGTGGTCATTATTATAAAGTAAAATTCTCTCTTCCTATTCTAATATATCATATTTCAGGCTTCTATTTGAAAGCAAGTACAAGAGATGATATGATAAGAAAATCCTACAGATGCTCTTTTTGCTTGACTAACTTATATAATCATACTGTTTCATGATAACTGCTTTTGGAATAAATAATAGGAAGTTTTGTGAAATGCTGACCTTGTGTATATCTTAGAATGCAAATTTAATAAAGTGTGTACACATGCATAAAATTCTGTAAAAGTTTTTCAAGTCTATCTCTTTTATCCTTATTAATAATTATTTTCTGCCTCCGTGTCCCAGTATCGCATGCTCTGTGTCTAATTGCAGTCAAGTTTGGAGTAAAATGATACCAGGAGCACAGAAGAATAGCTGCATTGAAGTTTGGGCTGTTTCCCAAAACAAAAAGAAACCTCTTTCCACATAATCTGTCAAACTTTCATGAGCATTTTGTAGAACTGGACAATTTAGACAGTTTTTGCCAAGGCCACACATATTTCTTATTTTCAATTTTTTTTTCATTTTTTCACATGTTCCAAAACAGTTTAGTCTTCTGAATAAGATGAGGGGTTGACAGGTAAAAAATAAAAGCCTTTTCTGCATGACTCAGGTTCTAAACACTCAATTTTCTTTTCAATGTCTTAAAAACAACTGGGATATTTCACACAGAAAAGTGGCAAGAATAGCACGAGGAATTCCTGTGCATCCTTCACCCAGGTTCCCTGTTTGTTAACATTTCACCACGTTTGCTTTATCATTCTCTCTCTCCCCCCTTCCGTATGTGTAAGTACTTAAGTATTCACATATTTCTTCTGAACCAGCGGAGAAGTTACTGAAACGATACCCCATTACCCTTACCTGCTTCAGTACATTTCCTAAAGACTAATTAGGACATTCTACACAACCATATTACAGCTATCAAAATCAGGAAATTACCTTTGATAGAAAACTACCATCTAATCTAGGGACTCCATTCAAATGTTGCCTGTGGTCCCAATAATGCTCTTTTAGCAAAAAGGAAAAAAAAAAACATCTTCTGACCCAGGAATCAATCCAAGATCATGTGTTACACTTTGTTGTTATGGGTCTTTGATCTCCCACAATCTGGAAGTCCCCCAGCCTTTCCTTTTGTGATTTTCATATTTTTTGAAAAGTTCTGGCCAATTTTGAAAATGTCACTCAATTTAGGTTTGACTGATGTTTCCTAGTTATTAAATTCAGGTTATGCATTCTGGGCAGAAATACCACAGAATTGATGCTGCATTCTGTGTTATTACTGTGGGAGGCACATGATGTCACTGTCCTAATACTGGTGATGGTAACCTTGATCCTTCAGTTAAGGTGGTATCTGCCAGATTCCTGTCCAGTTAATGTTTTCCCTTTGAAATTAATAAAATATTTTGTGCGGAGATACTTTGACAGTATATAAATATCCTGTTTCCTCAAACTTGCACTCACTAGTTTTAGTATCCATAGCTCTTTCGTGCCTGATAGTAGTAGGATGGCCACCTAATGATGACCCTCATTCTATCATTTTTTCTACATTTATTAGTTGGCATTCTGTAAAAAAAAATTTCCCTTCACCATTTATTTGCATCGGTGTAGACTCGTGGACTCCTTATTTTAGTCAGTGGGTTTTAAATCATTTTCATTGTTGGGACACCTGGGTGGCACAGTTGGTTAAACGTCTGACTCTTGATTTTGGCTCAGGTCATGATCTCAGGGTCTTGAGATCGAGCGCCGTGTGGCGCTCTGCTCTCAGCGCGGAGTCTGCTTGAGATTCTCCCTCTCCTCCCCCCACCCCGACTCGCACACGCACATTCTCTCTCTAAATAAAATGTTTAAAAAAATCATTTTCATTATTTTGATATTCACATCTCAGATTTGACAGGTAAGAGCTCCTCCAAGCTGGCTCCTGTGTCCTTTTGACAAATCTCACGTTTTTTTTTTTTTTTTTTTTTTTAGCAGTGTTTCACTACCTGGCTTAAGATGTCCCAGATTCATACTTTCCTTGCCCCAGCCTTGGGATCGGACATTTCTCTAAGGAGCCCCGATTCCTTTTAATGGAAAGTGGTATTTCAAAGCCAAGGTGTAGGCACTAAGTATAATCATTGCTACCAGGGCATCATGGTTTAAAGGCTTTCTCAGCATAATCTATGTAAATGTGTGTATACACACACACACACATCTGTTCATCTATTAAAAATGAGTTTAAACTGGTACCTCCAAGTCCAGTTCAATACCACAGGGTTCCTTCCAGTGTCCACCCTATCCATATTTGTAACTCTGTTCTCTGATAGGGACAACCCTGGTTCCCTTTATCCTCAATATGACTGCTCATTTCCCCTGTACGTAAACAATTTCTGACCCTGCACCCATGGCTGCTTCTGCAGAAGGGAAAGGGAAGAAGGGCTACATACTCAGGTTTTAAATCTCCCTGGCTCACACCCATCCCGGCTACCACTCCCAAGCTCCTCTTCCTCTGTGTTGAATAGAATGGTTCACAGCTCAGGGATTTCTTATATTCATCAATTTGACAAATACTGAGCCCTGTGCTGGGA